CTATTTGCTGGCAAACAGAAAACAGAGTTGGGCACTTTACCCCCCCTGTAACCCTCCTCGACCCTCTGCCCCCGCAGCAGCTTCCTCATGGGGAAGCTCCTGGGGCCAGTTCTCCAGCCCTGTGTCCAGCACCTCCTTGGCCACCTGGGGCAGTGGCAGCTCTTTGCACGGCTGCAGGGGACAAGGACAGGGCCACACAACCCTTGGGGAAGGATGGAGGGCAGATGATGGCACGCGAATGCAAGAGAGGCAGCTGGTCTGGGTTTGGTGGTGTTTTTTTTTCCCCCCACATTTTAGGGTGAGCCTGGACCTCGGGGTGAGCAGGGACCGCCGGGTGTCCCTGGGATGAAGGTGAGTCTGGGGCATTGTGGGGGTTTGTGGTGGTGCTGGGAGCTGCCCCTGACTCTCATCTCTTCCTGGGTCTCCGCAGGGCGACCGGGGTGAACGTGGCCTCGTGGGCCCCCCCGGCGAGCAGGGGAAAGTGGTGAGTTGTGCCCACAGCCAAGCTGGGAAATGGTCTTCGCCTTGGGATTGCTTGGGATTGCCCAGCCCCGGGTGTGCAGGTGGGGAGGAGGGATGGGGGCAGCGGGGCATGGCTGGCACTGCCTGCCTGGACGTCTCGCTTTGATCACGGCTGGGGTCCATCACGCGCCTCATCCCGCTGTGCCTGGCTGCTGGGGTGAGGGATTAGCTGATGGGGCAAATAGCTTGGGGATTAGTGGTCCTGGGGCCACGCTGGGTTTGCAGCCCCAGCCGGGAGAGGAATTTCCTCCCAGCCTAGCGAGAGCTGCCTGGCCCCTCTTGGAGACTTTCCTGGGGTGGAAAAATGGCCAAAAAGTGACCTTTGTCCCTCTGGCTTCCTTGGGGACAGGGCTCCATCTCTGGCAGAGCCCCCTTCTCTCAGCATGGCTGGGAGGGAAGGCTCCTCCATCATTTTCTGCCCTGTTCACCCACAGAGGCTGGATTCAGGGCAGGTTGGGATCCTGCGGGGCAGCCTGAGCTGCTGGAGGGGATGGGGTGCTGCCTGAGCATCTCATTGCCTTGGGGAGGATGCTCTGACGGGGGAGGAGGGTCCTCCCCACCACCTCTTCTTGCTCATTTTTCTCTTTTTCCTGTGTTATCTTGATTTCCAGGGGCCGAAGGGTGAGCAGGGCCCACCGGGGATCCCAGGACCCCAAGGCTTGCCAGGAGTCAAAGGAGACAAGGTGACTGCTCCTGGCTGCAGGGGATGGACTGCTCTGGGGTCCAGCTCAGGGAAGCTGCACTGAGCTGGGCTGACACTCCCCCTTCTCCTTTCTCCAGGGCTCCCCAGGGAAAACCGGCCCCAAAGGCAGTACTGTGAGTACATCACCCTCCTGCGCAGGCTGGGGAATCACTGACACCCCTGTTTAACAGGGCTGACACCCACTGACACCGAGTGCTTTCTCCATCAATACCTCTGGCATCCTGGTCGAGCGCAGTGGGTGGAAAACGGGGTTAAAGTGGCTGCAGAGGAGGTGGGTGCTGGTGGCGAAGGTTCACATTTCTCGTTGCCTTTCCTCTAGGGAGACCCCGGCGTTCACGGCCTTGCAGGGCTGAAGGGAGAGAAGGTGGGTCCTGGGGGTAGGGTTCCTGGGGTAGGGTGAAGGAACATGGATGGGATGTGGGTCCCTGCCCATGCTGGGGTCTTCTGCCCAGCATGGCCCTGGGCACTGCAGCATTACATCCCAGCACAACGGCAGTGCACTCTGGAGGGGAATACGTGTGCCCCTTCACCAGCTGCAGCTCCAAATTTGTGCTGTATCCCCACTGCATTTCTTGTGTCCTCTGTCCCCAGGGTGAATCAGGCGAGCCAGGACCAAAGGGACAGGTGAGTGACTGGGGGTTTGGGAACGAGAGACCCCCTGCATCTCCACGCTGGGTGGCTCTGCAGGACCCTCAGCTGGAGGTGATCCTCCTGACCAAGGCAGCAGCGCTTGGAGCTGGTGCACGCTGCACGCTGGTGGGACGAGAAAGTATTGTCACTGGAGATGTGCTTCAGTGACCACGTCCAGCCCTGGATTCAGGTTCAGACCCCATTCAGGGCTCAGACCTCAGCTGCAGCAGTTGACACTGGAAGCTCTCAGGGTCTCAGGGTGCAGCCCCTGCGCGCAGGACAGGGCTGAGCTCCCCTCTCCTGACACCACTCTCCATCCCCACCGCAGCAAGGCATCCAGGGCGAGCTCGGTTTCCCCGGCCCCTCAGGGGACGCAGGCGCACCCGGCGTGCGAGGCTACCCGGGACCCCCCGGCCCACGAGGACTCGTCGGGGAGCGCGGCGTGCCGGGGATGGCCGGTCCGAGGGGCGTAGCGGTG